CCTGCTACCCTCCTCACTGGCTCAAATTAAGGGGAGTTGCTTTTATTTTGTGGCTTAACACAAATTGGGGAGTAGCACAGTTCAGAAAAACATTTCTTAAGAGTTAGAAAATTATTAGATTTCTTCTCAATAATACAGGTGGGATTTTTTTAAACTAAAGCAATTTCTACTACCCAAAACCACTCTGGGCTTCAGCATCTCCAGTTACATACTAGGCCCCAGCAACTGTGACTTGGGAGAACACTTACTAATGTGTAACTTTTTCTCCAGGATTAGATGAGTTTCACCTGGTAGAGTAAGTAGGTAAGCAAATCCAGTTTATACTCTGGCAGGAGTGTTAAGTGAAGAAGGACAAAACCCGAGACACTCCTCTGTCTGAATGTTTACAGCAGTTTCTAATGAATGCTGTTCAGAAGACCACTTGCTCACGTTACCTACCCTAAATTTGACATTTGCCTCTGATCAACATTTACTACAAGCCTTTTTCAGCTTTGCCAAGTGAGTATAAAGAAAGTCAGCTTTGCAAGTTTTTTTATCAGAAACACCTGATCATACAAGGGCATCAGAATCCACCTTTAGGTCCCAAGTAATTTGAAGGGCAGAAGAACAAAAATCAGTAGGTAAATCAACAAAAAATAAGCACACAGGTAAAAAAGGAAGATTAAAGTCCCACTACTATTGAGACAGTCAAGTTAGAGAATTAAATCTGCAGCTTAAACTGTACAAGAAGGCACAAGAGACATTGCACACAGTGAAACAGATACAGAAACGTAGTTATCATCTAACCTGCAGGATTGTGACAAACTTAAAACTACAACAGTAAAACTAAGAACTGTTGTCTACTTGACATGTCTTGGACAGAAGAATCTAGAAAGATGGCAATGCTCTCCTAAACTGCAGCTTATTGCAGAGAGCACCCATGAAAAAACCAAACAAAAAACCCCCAACACAAAACAAAAAAGCACCCACACAATCCTTAATTTGATCCCTAATGTGCACTTAGAAGTCCATCAACTCACCAAATTAACAGAAACAAACCTGGAACTATTTGGGCTTTAAACTCTGCTAGCACTTCAACACCGATACAGTATTGACAACCACTTTCCCCAGATAAACCCGTATTATTTGTGAGACACTGCAAGAAAACAAATATGCACATGCTTCAAAAACCTACTCCTGTTTGGCATTCAAATCCCAGGTTCTGTTTCCAGAGACGGTTGCAGAAGAAAACCTTCTTTTATTATTGCACTTGAGGGTACCTGCTAAGAAATCACCGCCTTTGTCCAGAGTAGTTGAGTATCTTCTACTGTTACCTTACACCCCTGCAAG